ATGTTCTTCATAGTGCAATTAATTTAGCCTTCTCCCTATGTTGGTAGATTTTGGGATCACACCAATACTGAAATGAAGATGTTTGAATTATGTTGTTCTCAGTGGCTCATGGTCAGATGTTTTAGCATGGCTCATTTCATCTGTATGCTGCAGTGCATGAATTTTCAATGTGTCACTGAACGCAGGTCCAGCTAATTACAGCAATGCGAGGAAAGCTTAAAAGGAGCCTCGTAACACTATTATTTGTGTCCAAGAACAAGTTGAAATTGCAACTTCTATTTTTTAGAGGTGTTTTTGGAAACTGATACTGCACACAAAACATAACTTACCTAAGCAATGTATTTACACCTACGATTTGATTATAAGGTTCAGTCATAATAGTTTTTTGATGCACTATCATTGAACACTCTTAACTCAAAATGACCATGTGAAAAAAGATTCAAGTTTCCAATAAGGAAGAAGGTCTTTCTCTAGCCTTTTCCTTGATTGTAGACATTCCTTACCACAATTTTCTAAGCTGTGTACTCTTGCTTTCCCCCATTCCTTCCAGTTAAGTCTTATTTATTTTCCAATCTTTCACAGTAGTCAGCTTTTCCTATGGCACTTTGCATTGTTCTGCATTTTTACCCTTGGATAAAGTTATTTAAGGTTGACCCTGGGTTAATGGGTAGAGGTCATATTTCCGACTCTCTGCGATATGACCTTTGATCCAGTGCCCTGGTGGCCTGTAAGCGTTCAAACTCATGTCGGCTGTTCCTGTCTGGACTGAGGTTCGCCAGTGCCCTGCTCCCACCACCTACATCCTCCTCCTCATCATCACGGCTTATGAAGGCCAGTTCATTTTCATAGCAGAAGGAGTTAGAACTGGGGACTAGGAACTTGTTCTCCACCATGTCCTTGGCACTGCAGCGGGGGGTGGACGGCACCTCGTAGGTTTTGTGAAAGTGAGAGTAATCCACCTTGTACACGTTCTTCTCCTCAAACAAGACTGGCTCGAAACGGTGACCCCATAGGATCTCAGAGGCCAAGTAGGAACTGCGAGCCTGCGTGGTCATGGCGGTTGCTTCCACCATCCCCTCCAAGATGACGACAACCTCAAAGTCTGCTGTCTCCAGGTCTTGTTTGCTGATCCCAAAAAGGGGGCTCTCCTCATCTATCTCATGGAGAATAGTGATGGGTGAAACCAAGAAAATCCTGTCCAGGCCTTTATCAAAGCCCACATTAATGTCTATCTGGTCTAGAGGAATATACTCCCCCTCATCAGTGATCCGAGGTTTGATGAGCTGTGCCCTGACATGGGCCTCTACAATGTGGCTCTTGCGAAGGTTCCCTACCCTCCACATGAGGCACAGCTTTCCGTCCCGCATGGCAATGACAGCATTGTGGCTAAACAACAGTGTTTGGGCTCGTTTCTTAGGCCTTGCCATCTTGGCCATGATGGCGCCAATCATAAAGCAGTCAATGATACAGCCCACTATAGACTGGAAGACCACCATGAAGACAGCCACTGGGCACTCCTCAGTCACACAGCGGTAGCCGTAACCAATGGTAGACTGTGTTTCAATGGAGAATAGAAAGGCCGCCACAAATCCATTGACCTGTAGGACACATGGAGTGAAGTTGTCATCTCCGGCTGGGTTATCCAGATCTCCATGCAGCAAAGCTATGACCCAAAAGGCTAAGCCGAAGACCAACCATGAGACGACAAACACAAGAGTGAAGACCACCAGCATCCATCGCCAGCGAATATCAACACATGTGGTGAACATGTCAGCCATGTAGCGCTGCGACTTTTCGTCCATATTGGCAAACTGCACATTGCACTGGCCATTCTTTTTGACGAAGCGGTTGCGGCACTTGCGGCGTGTATGGATCTTGCCATTGCCAAAGCCGTTCATGCCATGCATGGTAGTGAGGCGGAGGCCCTCTTCCTCAGATGACACAATGCTGTAGCGATTGATCCTTCCTACACTCATGCTCCCGGCGGCGCCTCCAGCTGCAGGGTCAGAGCAGAAGGGCAGTCCTGGAGTCCCAGTGTGCGATCGTGGCCCCTCACAACTTGATCACTGGGTAAGCTGCATTTTAGTGAGTCATAGGCAGGGAGCTGGGTGGGAGCCTTGTGCTTTAATCCAATCCCTGTAGAGAGTGTCAGGAGAGGAGAACAATGTGAGTGTCTTTATGTGATATAATGGTCAAATCACACCATACCTGTAGATGAAACATCACCAAAGAACCAACCATGAAAGCTTATAGTGATGGGATAGCGAAACATTGTTGTATAAGTAAATAAATAGTTGCCACTGGTCCAAAAAGCTAGTGATATCACACTGAATGAACTGTGTTTGAGCCCAAACAACCAATTCACTGTCACCACGTAGTGTCCTTAAAAAAAATAAAAACGTCTGAACTGGATTAACATGATTTAGATTTTTTTATTGAATGACTTTAATGACCAATTTTTAGTGTGTTCAATATTGTTATGGTTTAACATTTCTTTTCCTGTTACACTACCCAAGAAAAGGTTTATAGTGCTAGCATCCATAATAACGGTTACTTCATAATCCTTCTCCTCGCCATCTTGCTCTCTTTAAACGTCACGACTCAAAATCCAATTGGCCCTCACTGAAGGGTTCTCATGTCTTTTGATGTCGACTGGGTAAGTGAAGAGCTGGCCTCACAGCAGATCCACTTCTGTCGCATGGCATTTCCTGTGCTTTTCTCTTTCAAATGATTTAAGAAGGTTGGCAGTGGAGACAAAGTAAATCATCACCTACCAGATGTTTAATATTACATAAGAATTGACCGTCATGTGAGCCACTGCTTGTATCTTGTTAGGTGTTTTTATAAGATGAGGGCTATCATATTTTAGGCCTATCTGTGATATGGCAGCCCTACATGTTAGTTTTCATCACGTCTTGGTTGTATTTATAGTTTATCAACAGCATGCAGCCATCACACATCCAATAGATAAGCTATGCTCTTCTTTTTATTCTAGGTTTGCCATTGTCCTTTCAGCACAATACTTTTGTTAGGGGACTAGAGCGTGTGTGTGTGTGTGTGTGTGTGTGTGTGTATTTAAACACACTCCTAGGGGACTTGTATGTGTGCCACTGATTCCACGGACATGCAATTCCAGATGCTGTGTACAGGAATGGCGAGAGAAGGACCCCATTCTGTACAATCTGCAGTATTAATCATGTGAGGATTTATAGCACATTCTCATGGTTCTCCATAGAAGTAGGTAGTAGAGATTTCTCCCCTGTGCAATGCCCTGTATTACATATTCACTGTAATTACATACTGGAACTTTAGTTTATAAGAATATTACAAGATTAGACATACAAGAAACACACTTTGCAACATAAAGTACATACTCATACTGTATGTGTCAAAATATTTGTTTAGAATTAAATGAATATGTCAGTATGGCTATTAAAGTATTTTCTTAGTCAGGCAGCAGATAACCTGGCCGCTGAACTGGATGTTGAGCCTCAGGGTCAAGGAGTTTTTCCCATGGGAGCTGGACTGAGGCCCCTCTGGGTGCAGACAGCTTTTATCGCCTGGCCACATCCGTTCTGTGTCTGCCTGCCTGATTTGGGCCCTGAAGACTTGATAGTTCACTCATGTGCGTTCCCAAATCCCAGGTGCCCTGCTGTCTGCCAAACACACACACCAATTCTGTCCTAACTCAAACTCTTTCAGGTGGAAGTTTTCCTGATCTGTATCCATATTACCTCATGCACAATCTTAAAATGGTCCCTTAGGGGTCAAACACATACCTGTATCAGGAAAACATACTGTAGTTAAATGTTATGTACTATTTTTATACTTCTAAAGGCTCTTTTCACCTTTTGACGATATCACACTACATTCCCAGAAGAGCCCAGCTGTTAGTGCTAAAAATAGTAATCCTACCACTCCTCTCAAATATGTAAATATGTCAACCAAACTAGATTGTCTTATCCTTTCTAATTGTATCTAGCACTTCATTTTTACACAGACAGTTTAATTAAGCACGTTTGTGGTCCTTGGCTCCCCCATGTAGTGACAGGTGGGCTTGGTCATAGTAACTGCACTGACTGTACTGATGAAACTTGAGACTGAACGTCGTCTCAGCATTTCACATTATACATCTTGGTCTCTACGCTACACACATGACCTGAGTGGCCCTACATGGTGCGCACTCTTTATATCATACAGTAGTTGTACAGTGTCAGGTGTCCAGTCAACTGAAAGTAAAAACTCTCCCTGTGTCTTTGGAGCCATTTGATAAGTGTCGTAGAGTCTCAGCCCAAGCAGAAAGCATCTGCTGTAGCTACATGGGAAGCTCTTTAAATCAAAGTGTCCCCCTGAGAGGTTTGAGTGTACATGGTGCTTAAAGATTCAACTGTCACTGGCTCTTTGACAATAGTCTTTACTATGCCTAATAGTTTGACATTAAATTAGGCAACTGCTATTAATATCTGGATAGCTATACATCTTAATTCTCTTAATTCAAAGAAATTAGAAGTTAAAGAGGAAATCAGTTGTTCTTTAACCATATTAATTACAGGTAGAATATAATCACATGTAATTGAACAACTGGTTGTTCAGACAAAAAATAAGCCTTTTGGTGCTTTAGTGCTGTTTTTACATATGTAAATGACCGGTAATGGCACAGTTGTTAGAACCTGCCTCCACAAATTTAGGGTTTTTTTAAACACAAGAACAAAAAAAATAGAACAACTCAATATAAGCTTATTTCTGTTGTTAAAGGTATGTAGATGTAGTAGTTGTCTAGTGTTAGTCCTTGCAATGAGAGACGTGTCACTTGGTGTGAAAATTACAGCAGGTTCCAATCTTGTGTTTTCAGTTGTGTTGGTGGGTCAGCCTTTTTGTTTGTACTGGGATCGAAGCATGTGCCTTTGAGACCGGTTCCTAATTCTACTACCAGGCAAATTTTGTCCTACAAGCACTGTGAAATGACTACTCAGGGAGAGAGGCCATTAGTAGTGTATTGTTGTATTTATATTGTTGCCTTGTCTTGCAGTTAAAACACTTTGAGTTGAGAATACATCCATAACCAAAGAACATGAATCTTTGATTCATAAGGCAGGACACGGAAAGTGATTTGCACTACAGCCAGTAATTTCATGAATAACCTTTTGTGACCTAGTCTGCTGTGTGTGTTCTTGGGGAGTTAAGAGGAGTGACGAGGGGAGATGATAAGCTCGTAGCTGATTAGGATGAATAGAATGAATAATTGGATGTGCAAAATAATGGAAGGGATTGGGATGAACAATGAGGTGGAGGGGGAGAGGGCCCTTCATCTCAAGACAAGCATGCAGAAAACTGAGCTCGACCACGACGCTCCCAGCCCACCTCCCAAGGCCATTGTGAAGGAAGAGCAGAGGCTCGGGTGTCATCGTATTTTTCTATAGCTCACCGTGCGGAACTCATCTTGTCTCAAGTGACCTACAGGTTTTTTTGTTTTTAAAGAAAGTAACACCACTTCACCATGCAGAGATGCTGTCTAGTTCTCAGCGTCAGCACAGCACAGTCTTAGTGACACTTTGTCATTTTAAAGGGTGCAACTACTAGACAGTATAAGTTAGAACCAGACAGTATCCAACCCTGTTATACTGTGTATGTAGGTCATCCCCTGTGCCGAGATGCCATCTCAGGTGGTTGTAGAGAGAAGTGTTCATAAAGAACTGAGTCACCTTCTAACATTGTTATAACAGCTGGTATATTCTATGCAAATAGAACAAAATCTGCAGGTTTTTTTTTTTGCTAGCTGCACCTGTAGCTTCTCCACTGTTCAAACACCTGGTTCCCATTGATTGATCATTCCCACATGTGAGCTTCTCACTGATCTTTATTTGTGCAGTTTTTTAATTACTTGTACCCATTCACAAAGGCTGAATCACTCATATTAAACCTGAACTCTGTAATTTCCAATTTTAAGTGACACCTGTTGGTTAGAGCACACATGCTTGGATATATTACTTTTAATATAGTACTGCTAGACAATTATAATACAAGCAGATATAGCCTACAGTATAAGCTATGGTCCATGTGTTTACTATGATGTTGTAGCTTTTTTGTGAACGTGTTGTATTTTATGTTTTCGGTTTGTCCTACTGTGTGCCAAATATCCCTTTTTTAAATAATAAAAATGAACTAAGCTGAGATGAAAAGCAGGATGAGGTCATTGAACTTTCAGGCAACGCTGCATAATCTTCGTTCTCTTCATCCTCTGTCTCTATTGTGCCCTCACATCAGTGATTTCTTTATACACTGATGTAAGTGCAGTACCTGAAGCAACACATGTATCCATTAATACCTGCTCCCGTATGTCCTCCAGTATTACTACGATAAATTAGAGCAGCAACGCTCAATAATTTATTTTGGCATTTTTTACTTTATTCATCTATCATTAATAGTCGGTTTATTTTCACCAATTACATTTCTGTTGAACAAATAATTGACTGTTTAATCATTTCTGCAGTACTGTTGTCATGCAGTATAGTGCATTTACAGCCTCTCACTCTGCTCTTCCTCTCTTATTGTAGTGAACAAGCTGTGAAATGTATTGATTGTAGAGTTGTTATTATAGATTCAAACTTCATTATTTGTTAACTTCAGGATTAGATTTTTATTTTAACTGATTACTTTTAAGGGTTGTGTTTGATTGGTTTACAGCTACATTTCAGCCAGTTTGTTTATTTTTGTTTTAACCCTTTGGGAGATGGGAACCTGTCCATTTCAAATCCTAATATTGACAGTCAAGGCCTTCTTGGCTATTTCAAAAGCTAAGCTAAAGGCTAAACGTGAGAAACCCTGCATGAGAGCTTTAGGGTGGAAAAAATCAACATAATTTAAGATATTAAATGTAACCGCATTCTACAAAAAATCTTTTCCGCTGTAGTCAAGCTACATACGCTACACGTTTGTGATCAGTAACACATTATTTGCTGTTTTGGCTCTGTATTACAGCACAGTAGATCTAAAATGAAATGAAACAATGAAACTACAAAAATAACTTTCAGCTTTAATTTGTGGACATTTGCATCAGATAAATAGGAGTTTTTATACATTTTCTCCCAGTTTTAGTGGACAAAAAGATTAACTTGAATAAATTCATCATATTTAATTTGGTTGTAAATCCTTTGCCACATGATTTTGCGTACTGTTTCTGAGCAATTCTTTAAAAAAAGGATTTTATGAATTGATAGTATTGTACACATTGCCATCCAGTACCACTTTTATAACCCTACAGACCAGTGACATCTGACAAATAATGACGTGACATTGAGGCTTCAAGTTTGAGGTGAAGTTTTCTGTCCTTCTCTTACCTTTATTTC